GGCTGAGCGCTCTGCCGCGCCCGCCCTGCCATCTTAGGTGCCGTGCCCCGCCGCCTTTGTGCCCGCCGCGCCCGGGCACCCGCGGGGGCCGGGCCCGACGCCCCTCCGGGGGCGCCTCCCCCCGCGGGGCCGCCGCCCCTTGCCCCGCTCCTCCTCCTCCTCCTTCTCCTCCTCCTCCTCCTCCGCGGGGGGCCGACCGGCGCTCCCAGCCCGGCTGCGGCGGAGGGTAAGGCGGGCAGCACGGCGGGGGGCTCGGCCGCGGCGGCCCCGGGAGGGTGAGGGAGGAGGTGGGTGGGGGGGGCGGCCCGGTGGGGCCGGCGCCTCCCCCGCCGCGCTCTGCGGCAGTGCCGCAGGGTCGGGGCCGCCGCCGCCGAGCACCGGCGGGGGAGCGGGCGGCGAAATGGCGCTTTCCGCGGAGGGGCGGCCGCGGGCGGAGGGGTGTTCCCGGCTGTCAGGGGCCGCCAGAGGCCCAGGGCTGGGGCCGGGGCCGGCCCCGCGGCCAGGCGTGCCCAGCGCCGCGGCCCTTTTTGTCTGCGGCTCCCTCGGGGGCTTCGCCGGCCGAGCCCCGACCCCCGGGGAGSTTAGGGGTCCCTCGGAGACCCGCGCCGATTTCTGCCCTTTAAATTTTTTCCCCCTTTCATATTTTTTTTTCCCTCCCTGCCCCTTGCTCCTCCCCAAGCGGTGAGTTTTCAGTGTATATACCATTTTGTTCGGTGCTGGTGTGGGATTTGGCTGAAAGTGACCTATTTTAAAGACCTTTTATTGCTCCCCCCTCAGCAATGCATGTGGCGGCCGATTCCGTTACCCAAATAGCGTTTCCCAACCATTTTAATTTGTCAGATTAAAACATCTCATGGAGGCTGGATTTCTGTAACCCGCGTGTGGGTATGTCGTTAGAAATATCTCTCACCCYGCTTTGCTGCAAGCATCTTTGGAGCATCAGAGTTCACCTTTGTCACTGTGAAAGCAGAAATAAATAACAAGGCGATACCTGGGAAATGCAGTTGTACCATTGTGTTGGGCGCGGTACAAGAAATGGGGGGGGGGGGAGAACCAGGGATTAAGATGGTTGTTGTCAAATGTAGATCTTTACATGCCTTCGGAAAAAAATATGACAGATCGGTAACAGCCCTGAGGACATTTAACATATTTTCTTAGAAAAACGTTTCGTGTTTATCGTGCTTGTTTCTGCTGCTTATCATGGTACAGGGTATTTCATTAAGGTGGCATTTTAGTGGCTGTGTTGGTTAAATAGCAGTTGCATTAACTAGTTGAACAAATTGTGTCCTTCACCTTTGACTATGGCATTTTGAGAGCCCTTACAGCAGTGTGCCCATGCATGCCAAGGGCGGATTAATAAGATGTTACCTAAAGGTTTGGATGTTATTGATTCCTTACTATTAATGCTATTTATAGTGTGTTTGACATGGCTCTTGTTTTATGTATTTGGATAAAGGTTATCAGCTTGGAATGCTTCAGATTAAATGTTTCCAAAATACCATCCCTAATATATATATATATATATATATAAAATTGATCAATATAGTTCAGATTGTTAGTGTCTGAAAAACAGCTTTAGTGGATAGCACATAATAGTGAAAACGGTGGAAAACGGATACATTTTGACACTCGGGAAGGTTTGTTTTTGTATTTCAGGATTACAGAATAACAGCTTCTGTTGCAATAAATACAGTTTTGGGTATGTTTTTCTTGAGCCTTCTTCGAGCCTAGATTTCCTTGCCTTTGTGCCTCCTCATAGTTAGTCTGTCATAGTTTTTGCTACTTATGTCCAAGGGCAAACCTAATCAACGATTGGTTTGAGCCTTCATATTAGATTCTCCACAACATTGGCCTAGTTCTGACTKGTATGTTTGCCATTTTTAGGACTCCTCTTCCTTTATCCCTTGACTGAAATACATTGATAAACTTGAACCTTAATTTATCCTTTGAACTTGAGAKAATGTTTTTCTCCTCTGTTAACAGTATTTCACTGAAGAGAAAKTGATTCAGGTAGAACAGTATAATTTAARTTTCATCCTGCTGAAATACAACTGCCTGAAGTAAAAAACTCYTTGTGTAGTTTGATGTTATTTTTCTTTTTAACTAGACTGAATTAAGTGTTGCCTGTACAGGACCAGATGTTGGCATTAAAAKTATGTACAGATAAGGTGGCTTAGGCCTTAAATTAGACTATTTGAAAAAGTTATCTGTGTCCTGCTGTTAAATTCCAGTGTAAACTAAGCTCAAGAACTTAAAATGTTTACTTCCAGCTAAATAACATTTCCAATTGTGCAGTTTTCATCTCTGCTTTTATTCACCACTTTTTGTCTCCAGAATAATATGTCTCTAATGAGTTGTAAGACAGTCTCAGGTTTTATGCTTGGTGAGATACATTAGAAGAGAAGCAAATATCACAATAATTACATCTTCAGATGTATCCTAATAGTGGATTTCCTGTAATGAGGATGTTTAGTAGAGAACAATAGATATGGCAGCAATTTCAGAGATTTGTTTTAAAGATGTTGTAGGTAGCTGACTCTGCAGTAGTGAGTTCCACTTTGACACAACCCTTGCATACTCAACAGAGTAGGTGGTTTCCAGGTACTTGGTTTTCAGGTGTAATTCTCTTTCTAGTAAAGATAGACTGGATATGCTGCTGCTGTTGTCTCTCATGTCTGTCACTTCTGCAAGGATATAATTCTGGTTTTAGGAGGGAGTAAGATCATTTGCAAAATGTGCCTTATGMAAGTTTTTTGACAGTATAGGTATTTTGTCAAGTAAGAAAATAATTAGTGCTGATCTGACTCTCTTTGGGATCCAAAAGTGGTGAGGAAGCTATGGTAAATACCACTTGTCTTATTCCATTCCTTGTGTATTTTGGAGAACACTTGCATAATCACTAAGATCCTATCTTAGAAGCATTTTATGTTATGTTCCTGTTCATATTAAAATCATGTAAACAACATACTGTTAGCTTGAAGTGCATACTAGAAACTGTAAAAATCTTTGGTGTTACCAGGGGTGAGCCAGGCTCTTGTCTTCTGAATGACAGTGGTGCTTGGTGGCCATTACAATTTTCTTGTTCAAGTATGCTGTGTAGTGTCAAGGATTTTACTTTTATTTCCTTTTGTGAACCTGGACAAAGGGAAGAACTGAACTTCAACCCTGGGCTAGAATCATGTCTGAATTGAAAATTTTCCTGGATCTGACAGCAAGGTTCCAGTTATGGCTGGCACGTCCTCCCCTGGTAGCCATGCTTGGGACAAGTTTGCCTGTAACAGCGCACAGCAGGATGATTTAATACCTTCTGAGACCCACATCTGCTCTTTCTGTTATAATATTGAGTGTGACCTACTCTTCTTCATGAAGTGCWAATTCTCAAAGGACATAGTGCAGGGTGAAGCCCCTGTTTGTGCGGAGTGGTGCTCTCTGGCAAGTTTCCCTTACTCTGGAAGTTGACTGAGGTGTTCAGTMCTGTCCTCCACCTGCTTCTCCATGTGTGTCATTCCATGTGATCTTTGATCCTGCACTAGCAGAAAGCTAACCAAAGGAAAAATACCGTTTTGTGTCAGCTTGGTGATCTGAAATGGCTGAGTGCACAGTGAGGTGAGATTAGAGACAACCCTGGGGACTGGGCTGCACCACCACAACCAGAGACAGAGGTGGCTGGTGGCACTTTTTGTTAAACTTGTAGTGGTTAGGTTTCAGGATTTTTTGTTTTTATTATCCTTTAACATGCTGAGGCATTGCTGATCATACACTGATTTCTCTGTGGAGAAGGGACTGAAAAAAATTCGATGGACAAAGGGTTAGAAAACCAATAATCCTCTCATGTGAAGTGCCAGAGGAAGAGTCCTTCCTTTGAAAAAAATTAAAATATAAAAACATTAAATCAGAGGTGAAGTGCAAAGTGTCTGAGGGGAAGWAGTGTGCAGAGAAAATAGTAAGAAAGGATAGAGAGCTGTTTAAAAGAAGAGTTGGCTTTTACTC